TCATTTGCTGGAAGTGTTCTTAACTCTCAGAACATCAGACACAGCTATATCCCAAAGTACAAAAATGCATTCCAAAGCCAAGGACAAATTATGTCGGATGATCTTTGTCACTGCTCCCTTCTAGTAGAACAGGTCGTGATTTGCTTACATTCAACAATCAACAAGTATTTATTATGTATCCATTATGTGCTGGGGATGGAAGTACAAAGATTGAAACAATCTTTTTCTTTAGAAAGAAGAGTCTTTCTAAAAGGGAGACGAAGTACATGTAGAAACATAGATAGCATACACAAAAATGAACAAATAGAAATACATACAAAATAGCTGAATACAGGGTAGTTAGACTTTCCTAAATGATACACTATTTCACTTACCACAGAGGCATTTCCGATCCTTTTCATCCCTCCTCAAGCTTCCCATAGCTTCCTTTCCTGAACTGTCTCAGCTGAGAACCTTGGTTCATTTTTTCCCTGAAAAATTTTTTTTAATAATTTATTTTTAGTTTTCAACCTTCACTTCCATAAGATTTTGAGTTTTATATTTCCTCTCCTCTTCCTCTCCTCTCCCTCTCCAAGATAGCATGCAATCTGATTTAGGCTCTACACATACATTCATATTAAGCATATTTTCACATTAGTCATGATGTAAAGAAAAATTAGAACTAATGGGAGGAACCATGAGAAAGAAGAAACAAAACAAAACAACAACAAAAAAATGAGATATATCAAATAATGTGCTTCGATCTGCATTCAGATTCCATAGTTCTTTTTCTGGATGTAGACAGCATTTGCCATCATAAGACCATTGGAGGTGTCTTAGATCCTTGCATTGCTGAGAAGGGTTAAGTCTATCAAAGTTACTGATCTCATAACATGGCTGTTACTGTGTACAGCATTCTTCTGGTTCTGCTCACTTCACCCAGCATCAGTTCATACAAGTCTTTCCAGGTTTTTCTGAAGTCTGCCTGCTCATCATTTCTTATACCACAATAGTATTCCATTACATTCATTTACCACAACTTGTTCAGCCATTCCCCAATTGATGGGCATCTCCTCAATTTCTAATTCTTTGCCACCACAAAAAGAGCTGCTATAAATATTTTTGTATATGTGGGTCCTTTCCTGAAAAAAAAAATTGAATCCATTTGTCAAGAGCTCCCTCTTCGCCCATCTTTTTCATCTTGTGTCACTCAGATCTCTTGTCCCATTCTCTTCCTTCACCCATCTCTAGAAGTGGCTTTTCACGCTAAGCAAAACCCCACTGCCTGCATCCTTGATCCCATTCCATCCAGTCTTCTTCAGGAAATTGCATCCTTTATCATCTTCACTCTTTCTGCATTCTTCATTCTCTCCTTATCTACTGGCTTATTCTGTGCTCCCTAAAAACATGACAATCTCTCTCCCATGCTTAAAAACAAAAACAAAACCCAATAATAACAACAATAACCACCACCTCACTATTATCCTACCATTCCTGCTAGCTATCTTCCTCTATTTCTTTTTCCTTTCTTAGGTTAATTTCTTGAGAATGCCATCTACAATTGGTACCTCCACCTCCTCTCTTCTCACTTGATACTAAACTCTATGCAACCTAGTTTCTGATGTCATCATTCAATTCAAACTACTCTCTCCAGTCACCAAAAGTCTCTTAATTTGCCAAGTCTAATGGTTTTTTCTTGATCTTCATTCTCCTTGACCTTTCTTCAAAGGCCTTTGACGCTATTGATCACCTTTCCTTCTGGATATCTCTTCCTCTCTAGGTTTTTGAGACAGCAATATGGCATAGTAGTTAAAGTGCTGGACTTGGAGTCAGGAAGACCCCAGTCCACATTTGACCCCAGACACATACAAGGTGTGTGACTCTGGACAAAATCATTTAACCTCACTCTGCCTCAATTTCCTCAACTGCAAAATGGGGATAGTAAAAGTGTTGTGAGGATCAAATGAGATATTTGTAAAGTGTTTAAGCACTGTGAATAGCACATAGTCGGCACTTAATAAATTCTTATTCTCTTCCTTCTTTTTGAGATACTGCCCTTTTCTGGTTCTCCTGCTACCTGTATGATCACTGCTTCTCAGTCTCCTTTGCTGGATCTTTGTCCAGGTCATGTCCTTTCTAAGTATCTATCCTGGGACCTCTTCTCACTCCATTTGAGGAATTCTTAACCATGTGTGTGTGTGTGTGTGTGTGTGTGTGTGTGTGTGTGTGTGTGTGTGACTCCTTTGCCTGTCTGGTGAGAACCTTTTCAGAATGATTTTTTAAAAAAATCGTAATTGAAAAAATTTTGGCCCTCTCTTTCTACCAGAGAAGAAGTCTGAGTTTTTTTCTTTTTCTTTTATGGAGTGTTTATAGTACCTTATTGTAAAATTTGGCTTAAGCATTTGGTCATAGGTTCTGCGTTGTCTGCTGGTCTTCATGTGTCATCTGCAGCATCTTCAAAACGCCCCCAAAATTCCCATTTAATTTCTTATAGAAACCACGATGGGGAAAGTTGGATGGGATAACTGTTTTTTTTTTTTCCATTCCAAGTTCACAGACACTCTGAAATTTGTCTGTACACCACAGGTTAAGAATCCTTGTTCTGTACTATCTCCCCTGGTGATTTCATCAGCTCCCATGGGTTCAGTTATCGTGTTTATGCAGATGATTTACAGATCTATATATCTAGCCTTAACCTCTCTCCTGAGATTCAGTCTCACACCACTAACTATGTTTCATCTCAAACACGATGTCCTGTAGGCATCTTGAACTCAATACATTCAAAACAGAATTCATCCTTCTTCCTTTGAGGGCACCTCTATTCTCCCAATTAGCCAGACTTGGAACATGAGCGTCATTTCTGACTCTTCTCTTATACTCACCCCACATATCCCCTCTGTTGCCAGGTCTTGTTTCTTTGCTTAATAAGTCCTTGTTGATTGATTGGTCCTACAATATAACAAGATGGCCCACAAGAGGTGGGTGACAACGAAAATGCTGACAAGTCAAGCAGGTAATCCTGCCAAGGATGGGAGCCAAATGCAACATTCAGCTGAAGGGGCTCATGCACCGGTGTGCTTCGAATAATGAAGCATTATTAAGCACCTCTCCTGCTCTGGAGGTTGAGTTAATGATGGTTACATATTGGAACACAGGAGCAAATTTCCTTTCTTACTCAGCGAAACTATTACTCTGCAGATCAGTGACTTGCATTATGTTTTTTTTATTTAGGTTGCACAAATAATTTCAAGGACAGGCAAAAAAGTGTCTTTTTTTCCCCACGTTTGCTTTCATTGGTTTTTCATGTCACTGAGCTATAGGATAAATGTTAAGTAACTTAGGGGCAGCCCTTGCAATGCCTCGGAATGCTCTATTAGCTGGCTGTCAGTATGGCTCTTCAACAGAGACAGTCGCTTTAGGAAGGCCATCTGACCTCAATCAAAGCAATCATCCAGTGGTGCTTTGGCTCAGTGGTGTAGCCAGTGCTATTCATGGAGGCAAATCTCTGCTTCTCATTCATTTCGTAGCAATTCACAGAGCCTTTCTTTTTTTTCAGCAAACAAGATGACTGTTACCAACCTATCTTACTAGATTGTTTTCTGGGACTGCCAGTACAAATGAAGGCATGCCAAATAATGCATTCATGGGAAACCGGCTTGATTCATGGAGCAGGAGGAGGAAGTATACTTTGTTCTGGGTCCAAGTAGAATAGGGAATAGGGTGTAGGAATGTTCATGTGGGAACTGGAGGGTCTGGGGAAGTGGAGATGTTGTTCTTCGGCAATGTGACAGTCTCCTCGTTATCGCCTCTGGGATTCTCTATTTTAGGGGTAACGTAGTATGAGTAGACAGAGGTCCAGACTCGGAAGTCAGGCAAACTTGGGCTTTAATTCCTCTCCTAGTCCTAGTGACTTTGTGGCAAATCTCTTAACCTTCCTTAGTCCATTTCCTCACTTAGATTCATTTCTGCTTCAGACCCTTAGCAGCTGTATACTTTCTGGGAAGTCACTTAACCTAACTGAGCCTCAGTTTCCCCATCTGCTGAATCTGGAGTCAGGAAGACTTGTTCGAAATCCACTTTAGACACTCATTAGCTGCATAACCATAAGTAAATCACTTAACCTCTCAGACTGAGTTTCCTCATCTATAAAATGGGTTTATAATGCTTCAGGGCTTGGCACACCCAGTCATTTGCAAAGATCACATCAACTTACAATTCATTTTCTCCACTATGGATTCTCTACACCAGGGACGGCACTAACTCACCATACATTTGTTAAACCCATATTTTTTTGATTTTCAGATTCTTCTGGGTCACAATACCAACCAGACCTAAGTCTGGACAATTAAAATCTGAGGTACTTTGTAGTGGAAAAAGACATTACCCAGGGGCTGGCCTAGGTTCTAGTCTCTGCTCTGTTACTCAGTTTCCTCATCTGTAAGAAAAAAAAAAAAAAGGAGAGGTGTGTGATCAAGGAGGTTGTTTGCAGGTGTTACCCTCTAAGACTCTCTTATATATTGTCATCACTACTGGGCCATGCCTTTGCTCAGTATTCCTTCCAGGCATAGTGCAGAGCTACTACACAAATACAGTCTCTTCCCACTATATCATATTATGATTCTGGTATGTTCTTTAAGCAACAGTCCTACATTAATATTATCTCCTGTGGTTTTCACAGCCACTCTGGGAGGCAGGTGCTGTTATTGTCACCGTTTTACAGCTGGAGAAAGTAAAGCAAACAGAGGTTAAGTGATTTACCCAGGGTCACACGGCTAGCCAGCGTCTGAGGCTGAATCTGAACCTCGTTCCTCTTGTTTCGAGGTCCACCACGCTCTCCAATGCACCACCTAGCTCCATGGCTTGCAGCAACGAAGAGCTGGGTTCAAATATCGCCTCTCCACACACCTCCTCGTCCTCGGTCCAACCAGGAACTACAACCCCCAGAATGCATGGCGCTCCCGGCTCCGGCTGGGGACGAAGAATCGAGACGCCATTTCCGGCAGGTCCTGTTACGTGACTCTTTCCCTTTCAAGATGGCAGACAAACTCCCTTCGGAGTTCGATGTGGTGGTGATAGGGACCGGTACGTAAGGCTTCAGGACTTGACCTCGGGCGGGCCGTGACTTCCGAACGGGCGGCGGGCCTTGGTGCCCGGGCAGGGCGTTCGGGGCTCCTCCGGGGCTGCCCGAGTCGGCGCCAGTCCTTGGCGCTCCGAGGCGGGGCTGGGCTAACTGCACCGTGAGCCCGACTCGAGTCGGGAGTCCCAACCCGGGATGTTGTCATTCCGGACTGCGGTGGGGGGGGGGGGGGGGCCGGGGGCGTCGAGGCTGGCCTGGGCTAGGGGGCTCTTTTGAGAGGATCTTCTAGGGCTCCTCTCGTAGGCTGCCTTCCGGGTGACCTTGCCCACTCTTTCTGGCTCTCTCCCAACTCTTGAAATTCTCAGGTACTCGATTCCTCCAAGCAGGAGCTCAAGAGCTGCTTTGTGCTGCCGAAAATTGCCAACTGCGGGGGCTAGGGAGCCATTCGGGCTTTGGCGCCTGCTGGAGGCGAAATGCCGGGGTAGGGGGTGGGGAGTAAACGGGGTGGTTGGAGACAATCCTGGCCTCTTTACTTGAGGGAGGGTCACTTTTCCTTCTGTCCCACAATAGTAACTCCAAGAAAACATTTTGCTTTCCCGCCGGCCTGCCCACTGCCATATTTTCTGAGAAGTTTTGAGTGATCTATGATTTGTCTGCCTTACCTTGGTGTTATATTATTTCACGCATCACATGGGATGCTCATTGAGGAAGAGAATGCAGCACTTTTGTTGTGGCAGGGGCCAACTGATTCTTTCCTTTAAAAATACAAGTATATTAATTTTGTCATAGGACCTGTGAATGGTCTGCTGAATGGGACTACACCATGCCCGAGATGCCTAGAGATGAGAGAAACTCCTAGGACACTTCATTTTCCTTGATTCTGGCCATCTTGCAAACCTTTTCCAGGTTATCGGCCAACAACCTGCAATGCCACGATATTTTAAGGGTTGGAGTGAATGAAGGTTTCACACTGCATTTCTTTACGAAAACTTTGTTACTGCAGTTATACATAACTGGAAAGGCGCATGTCTCCAGTGAATAGATGTTAGATGAAAGCAAAGTATAATTACTTTTCGTTTTGGAGAGGATGAAGAGAAGGGATGAAAAAACAAAAGGAAACTCCTCTAAAATTCCCCTTTCATTCTGCCTAGTCCAGGGGTGGGGAGCCTGTGGTCTCTGGGCCACTTGTGACCCTCTAGGCCCTCAAGTGCTACCCTTTGACTGAATCCAAACTTCACAGAACAAATCCCCTTAATAAAAAGACTTGTTCTGTAAAACTTGGACTCAGTCAAAAGGTGGTACCCAAGGACTAGACTAGGCCCTAGTCTGTCCTGAAAAGTGAAAACAAATTCAATTTAGCATGTGGCATTGTTTCTTTTTAAAATCTCAATGCTCAAGATTTTAGTGGATTTTTGTTTTAAGTTACTGAAATCATTATGAGGTTTTTGTTCACTTGTTTCGGGTTAACACCTTAGACTCACTAATTCTTGTAATTAGCTAATGCTAATTCTTGGAATAAACATTTTGTGTAATGATGTAATTGAAAGTATGGAACTTATCCTGTGTTGAGTCTATGGTAACTGATCTCTAGTGGTGAGGAAGTACCATAATTGATATGAAACACTACTGCCGGGAGAGTCTGGTGTAATGGGAGAAAATGCTGTTCTTACATATATGAGAAGACCTTATTTGACATACTTTGAAATTCCACACACAGCCATGCATTTTAAGGTTTCTCTTAATAATGACAGGTTTAGATTCTATTAGGGACACTGGTTTCTTGTAGGCTATAGGAATTTGCTGTTTATTAAATGCGATAGAAGTGATCAAAAAGAGTTCAAATGAACACGAGTAAAGTGGGGCTTACATGTGAATATTTCAAAGTAAAATTAGGTTTGTTAATTTAATTGGGATGATTTGACTTTATTTTGAATATAACACTTATGACAGAACTTTCTGGAATTAATTTTCCATTACTGAGTGCATTAGTTGAATGAATCATAGAAAAAGCAGCATTTTTATTTAACACATTCATCATGAATATAACAGAAGCTTAGCAAAATGTACAGAGATGCAATATTTTCTTTTAGGAAATTTAGTTCGTTAAAATGTCATCAAGAAACCATTTACCATTATCAAATAAAGTCATCTGTGAGTCTTCTTTTAAACCCTGTTGACCTTGGTTAATTTCTGTTGGGCCATGTTAGAGGGAGAGAGTTTTCTTTGGAAATTACGTTTTTAAAACTGAAACAATTCTGTGTCCATCCTTTTAAATTAAATCCATTCCCCTTTCTTCACAAAAATGGAGCTAGTGCATTGAACCTTCAAGTGGAAGCTAATGAAATAATTTTTAAGTCGAGAGAAAACAGGGGACAGTGAGAACATAAAAGGAAGCAGCCACTTTGCTCATTAAGAAGAAATGGGTTTTCTGACTTCAAGGTACTCACGGAGAGAAGAGGGCCTTGGAAATCTCTTCTGTGGTTTTTTACCAATAATGGAGCTTATGTTCCTAAGTGGCCACCTTTTTCTTTCCCTTCCCCCTCATGTTAATGCGCATTTTGTTTTGTGGGATATTGAAAAGAATCCTGGGTTAGAGGTCAGACATACAGGTACAGTATTGGCTGATCTAGCAGTCTCAGTTATGTAGAACACAGTTCAGAGCTGAAGGGCCTTGGAGCAGCCAAAAGAGATTCATTTACTCAATAAATAGGTGTCTGACTTTCCCTAAAACTCTACCTTAATGCTTCTTTATGGCATGGAAGGTCTCAAAGACTATGACAGTTTAACTCCAAGCTTTGACAGGAATCTACCAAGGTGGAGAGGCTCAGAGTACAAGACAGATGACAGATCATATATCTGTTATCCGAAGACCAGTTTAACTAATTTCTGAGAGGCTGCACATCATGTTGATAAATTTTTCAGTCACTTTGAAGGGCGATACAAAGACCATCTCCTAAGTCACAGAGGGACTGTGATCTTCATTGTTTCAGGGATTACACGTAGCAACAGAACCACTGGTATAGAGATCCAGAGAGATGACAGAGGCCTTGCTATGGAGCAGCTTCAAATGGATGCTGAAAATGACAGGTAGAAGGGCCATACAAAGGTGAGAGAAGTACAGAGATAGATAGGAAGAGAGCATATTCTGCTCCTCATGAGTTCAAGTCACCCATTCAACACGAACTGCTTCCCTGGATACTAAACAAAACAAAACAAAACAAAGCTGTTGGATGTGATTGTTAACTCAGTCTGTGATCTTTGATAAATGATGGTAAATGAAGAGACACAAATGATGTACAAGTTTTAAAAAAGAAGAAAAGAAAGAGAAGTCTGCAGCTGTGGACCTGTTGGCTTGGCTTAGGTTTCTGACGAAATCCTAGAACACATTAAAAGAATTGTTAGTGAACATCTCCGGGAGTCAGAGTGGTTTCCTCAAGAACAGGGTATTCCCAATTAACCTCACGGTCATTAGATCAGTAGATGAAGGGAAATACTGTAGATATTTTTCCAGATTTTAGCCACATCTTTCATGCTATTTTGGACAGAATGGAATGATGTGGGCTGGATGTTAATATAGCAAAGTGCATTCAGAACTGATTCAGTGGCCACGCCCAAGGCTTGCTGGACAGTTAGAAGGTGGTTTCTAGTAGAGCACCGCAGGGGTTTCTCTTTGGCCCTCTGCTTTTCTGATAATCCCCAAAGCCTCTGAGGCCCATAAGACTCACTCGTGGCAGACTGCCTCTGTTCTTGACATTCTCTCCTTTTGCCTTTTCTAGAAAGCTTTCTAGGTTTGCCATGTTGATTACAAGTGTCTCTGAGCCTATGATATACAAGCTGGGGAGCCCATCAGATTTGTAGTCAGAGGGCTTGAGTTTGAATCCTAGTTCTACCGCTGTTACTTTGGGCAATAATAAAACTCACATTTATATTTCTCTTTAAGTACTTGATATTCATTATCTCGTCACTTAACCTCTCCAGAATTCATTTTCATCATCTATAACATGGGGACGTTGGACTATGTGACCTTTAAAGTCCCTTCTATTTCCCATTCTATAATTCTATGTCATATGAAAGAGAGGAAGAACCCAGCCATCCCATACATCGACTCGGAAGAGAAGAAGAAAGCTTGGTGGCAACTTCACCAAAACATCATCGTTGACTGCATCCCTTTCACTCCCCACATACTTAATTCTTCCTGCTGTGGCCCCTGAAGACCATCACATTAGGTTCTGGCAACTGAGATCTAGATACATCCTTTGCCCTGGAGCCCCTAGCACCCCACCCCACCCCCCTGCCCAGTGTTTCTCCATGCCTCTGACCCAGGGTGTTTGACTTAAGGCCTTGGGCCTTCATTTGTGTGTTAAAAAATGTGCCATAATAAAGGCCTGTTGCTTTATTGGCCTGTCTGACTCTTTTGTGAAAAACTGCAAGTCCTAAAACTTTTGGAAGGGATGGGGACAACTGTTTATAAGGGTTATCAGTGACTTGGATAAAGGGATAGATGGCATGCTTATCAGATATGCAAATGACAAAGCCAGAGAGGACTAGTTAACACATTAGTTGGCAATTAGGATATGAAGATATCCTGACAGGCTCTTAGACCATTGGGATGAATCTGAAGAGGGTTAAATGGCTTCTATTTGGCTTCAAACATTTACCATCACAAGTTCAAGACAGGAGGTTTATCTAGTCATCCAGTTGATCTGAAAGGTATTAGAGGTTTTTACTGGACTGAAAGCTCAATATAAGATGAAAGCTAACATGAGTCAATGATACCCTGAAAGATTTAGTGTCCAGGAATAATCTGGTGATAGCCCTACTGTACTCCTTTCTGTTCTTATCATTTTTAGAGGATTATTTTCAGGTCTGGCTGCTTTTATTAGGAAGGACATTGATCAATTAGAGCATGCTGGGGAGGGCAACCACAGTGTTGAAGGACCTCGATATCATGCCATCTGAGGCTCAGCTGAATGAAGTGGGGATATTTAGCTTGGGGGAGAAGGAT